AAAAAAAAAAAAAACCCCATTACGTGTTGACAAAAGATTGAACCACATTTGGTCCCTGAGAGACGACCTAGGAGTCAATTCCTAGCACTGTACTGCATTCTTAATTGCACATCAAATTTGATCGGTCGCGACAGCTGTATCAGACACATATAGATAAATCTAGACATGAAGAAATTCTCCCAATAGTAATATTGCCTAGTCATAGGGATAGGAGGATTGGTTGCCTTTAAGCTTCTGTGCGAATGTAATGCATGAATAATTGCTAGGAAGACAAGACATTGTAAACTAGTGATTAGGAGTAGTAGGCTTTCTTCACCCAAACATCGGGTTTAAGGTAAATTAGAAAGTGGCATTAACATTAATGAAGAAAGGTGAATTCTTGAATACATGACAGTGGATAGGAGAACTCAGTAACCCCAACAACATAATCATCCATATATTTCAATCATGTTTTGCTTCTTTTGTCCAATTTATCAATACATGCATTCATATTTAATTTTTAGTATTTGCATTTAAATCTCAAAGAATTGGTTTTTGAAGTCTTATTTAATCAAGAAACCACACAATTGTTTAGGCCGTGAGTCCTTTGGGAAATGATACTTGGTCTTACCATTTTATTATTATTTGATACAATTTGGTTACACTTGCCAAGGGTTAACAACTTCCCCCTCCGGTCCCGGCTGAAGGCAACCGAGCAGTCCAAAATGAAGGCAACCGAGCGGTCCAAACTGAAGGCAGGCGAGCAGAGCACACAATTCCAGAGAAAAGTCACGTCACAAAGGTTAATCTCTCGATTCTACAAATTCCTACCGAAACAGTTATGATGGTAAGATTAACAATCTTTAATAATTGTTTGATGTTCAACTGAGTAAGAGAGAGGAATTAGCATTTTTCAATAATTGAATGATTAAACTTTCTCTCTCCAACTCCAATGCACAAAAATCTTATTTATGGAAATTGTTAAAATATTGAAGAATGTAATGACACACACAAATTGTTAAAATATTGAAGCATGTTTTGACAAAAAACTGTTTTGTTCAAAGGAGCATAGGAGAGAGAAAAAAAAAGTTAACGTCGTTTGTACGTATTTAACGGAAGGGACTTGAATGAGGCAAATTTTACCAAGTGAGGACGCAATTGAAACTTTTTTAAAATGATGGACCAACTTGACACACTTAAGTGAAACTAAGAACAAAATAAACAATTAAGGCTTAATTATTTACCATTTTTTTACAATTTTTTTATTATAATTATTTACTGCTTCTAATTGTGTAGGTTGACAATTTTTTATCCTTTTAAACACTAGAATGATATTCATGAATGTATGAATAGTTTGGATAATTTACTTATTTGTCATGTTATATAAGTTAACACTTTAATTTTCAACTACTATCTATATAATGATGTTTGGTAAAATAAGTGTTTCGGTAGTGGACCGAGAACACTCTTCCTACTTCGGAACCTACTTCGGACCTACTGCTCCTTTCCTGGTACCGATCGTGTGTATTTATAGGCTTTGTAAAATGGCCAGCTCATTAATCACCCATTAATGTTGTATATTATTGTGCCCTGAAATCTGTTAATTATCCATAAATGTCGCATTCTTGATGTTATCATGATTATTAACCGCATTGACTGACCATTAATGACATTTACCTCGTCATTTACCTCACCTCACCTGGACCCATTACCGATCGACTCAATTGGCCCGACTCTCCTTCTTCCTGACCGATCTGTTACGGGGAAGTAGTACAATAAATTAACAAATTAGTTGTATTACTATAAAAAAGAGTCATTTTAATCCATTTTGATTGTACATTAATAAATAAATAAAATAATTTGAAAAAACTAAACATCCTTAATTAGGTTCATCCATTAGCATGTAGTGAATCAAATTGAATTACAAAACTTTTAACTCAAAATAAATTGGATCAAAGTGACTCATTTTTAATTCAACCCTGAGTTAAATCCATATTAATCGAATTAAATGACTTTGACAGACGAACTCTTAAGTAAGCTAATAGTTTCTTATCTTATGATACAAAATTTTAAGTTAACTACTCTCTCAAGTTATGTAACTCTTGGAATAGCTAGTTGCTAAAGTATTTTAACAAAATTTATTCATGTGATGAGTTATCCTAATGAATCATAGTAACTTACTTTTCGCACCTTTGGTTATCTTATGTTTCAAAATTTGAAGTTAACTAACTTCTTTCTCTGAAGTTAACTTTTACGTGGACATACTTTATCTTTTTTGTTTTTTGCAATATCTCTTAAAGTTCAAACTCCCTTCTTTGCGGTCTACATAACTGACGGTGGGTTATCGCAATAATTAATATTGCTTCAACAAAAGAGTTGGCGAAAGATACGGTGACAATGTGACTTCTTACTAGTTTTTTTCAACTTTTAAACATTTTCAATTTATCCCTTAAATGCTTTTAAATGGACGGAAAAATCTATTCAAAACATAAAACATAAAATTGTTTTTGTTGGTCATATTAGTAGCGAGGGTTACACTTGTCGATTGGTTTTTGTTGGTCATACTATCCGAAAATCCTACATGGCAGTGTCTAAGAGGCATTGTATGATTGTGGTAGAGATCTCATCCAAGCTAAGGAGTACGAGAAGAAGCTTGTGGACATCATGAATCCTTCAAATCCAAACCAATAGAAATTCAAATACAGATCTCCTAAGATGTTAAGATAACAATCCCTTTTCTCAATTAAACTATATATATTGCTCGTCTACCCTTTCTCATATACAGCAACCACCGTTCTAACCATTCCCAATACAAGCTTTTTCAGTGCTTCATTCTACAACACTGCAATGGCCGCTTCCACCATGGCTCTCTCTTCGCCATCATTGGCTGGTCAAGCCATGAAGCTGTCTCCTTCCACCCCGGACCTCTCCGGTGGAAGGATTTCGATGAGAAAGACGGCCTCCAAGTCGGTTTCCTCTGGAAGCCCATGGTACGGCCCAGACCGTGTGAAGTACCTGGGCCCATTCTCGGGTGAGGCTCCTTCTTACCTGACGGGAGAATTCCCAGGTGACTATGGGTGGGACACTGCCGGGCTTTCAGCTGACCCGGAGACATTTGCTCGAAACCGTGAACTGGAAGTGATCCACTCTCGATGGGCGATGTTGGGGGCTTTGGGGTGTGTGTTCCCTGAACTGTTGGCCCGGAACGGTGTGAAGTTCGGGGAGGCGGTGTGGTTCAAGGCTGGGTCTCAGATATTCAGAGAGGGTGGGCTTGACTACTTGGGCAACCCAAGCCTGATCCATGCACAGAGCATCCTTGCCATCTGGGCCACACAGGTGATATTGATGGGTGCAGTGGAGGGTTACCGCATTGCCGGTGGGCCTTTGGGTGAGGTGACGGACCCAATCTACCCGGGTGGGAGCTTCGACCCATTGGGCCTTGCTGATGACCCAGAGGCTTTGGCTGAGTTGAAGGTGAAAGAGTTGAAGAATGGGAGATTGGCCATGTTCTCCATGTTTGGTTTCTTCGTTCAAGCCATTGTCACTGGCAAGGGACCTTTGGAGAACCTCGCCGATCACCTTGCCGACCCCGTCAACAACAACGCCTGGGCCTACGCCACCAACTTTGTCCCTGGAAAGTGAGAGAAACTGTAATGACACAGAAGAACAAGAAAGAACTTGTGAATTTTATGTCATTTAGTGAAATATGAATGTTAATTATATTATTATAATTATTTGTGTACCTTATTAACCAAACCATTTAAAACTCAAATGGCAAATCTTAAACATTAGAAAGCGAGTTAGGTTCTAATATCTAAAGCAATAAAACTAAAATGTCATGTTTTAAACCTTGTATCCTTAAAAAATAAATACTAATACTAATAATCTTAAAATTTAATTTTCGCTTCATTTCTTTTTTTCTAAATCCGAATAATATCTATTTTCGTCTACTTCTTAATTATTTCTCTCTTTTATTTACTTCCATTGTTTTCCTCACCATCAAACACACTTTGAGCCTTTACAAAAGTGTCAGAAGTATGAGAAGAGGAGAGTTTGTGTTTAGTTTGGCGCTATTATGCAGAACAAGGCCAAGTTGTTCGGTGACAGTACTGCACAAAGAATTATTGATTTCTTCACCAAAAGAAAGTTATTTTTACTTAGACAATTTGCAAACAGTGACCCATTCGGCTTTCACGAGATTGGAAACTAGTAATCACTTCACGTGATCTTCTTTTGCGAGTTATTTTGGCTGACAAGTAAATACGGTGAAAACATTTAATCGGTTCATTTGCAGGAACAAAAAGTCTCACCAGTCTGACTGGTGAGAGTTTCTAGGTGTGTCCCATCAGCAAAAAATGTGATTTTGACACTTCAACTACCTAATTAATTTCCAGCTATCAATTTAGAATTGGGTCTTCTGGCGGGTAGTGGCTAGTGTCCAAATAAATATTCAACTTTTTTATTCCAATTAATAGGAAATGTATTAAAAATTAAAACTTTACACTTTACTTGTGCTGTCATGCATGACTTTTTTTTTCTCATCTGTTTTAATCTGTAATATGAACTAAGCTAAAAACTTTATTAACCTTTCTTTGCATACATTCATGCCCCATGGGAGGAAATGAGAGATTTGAAAAAAAGAAAGAGTTTTAAGCCAAATGGAAGGATATACAAAAATTGGTAGAAAATTTCAAGACCAGCTCATTGCACAAATCTACACTTAGCTTTGCATTATTTTCAAGATACTATGTGAAATTTGAAATACTATACAATGTAGATGTTTTATTCACTTGGTGCAACAGTCTAAAAACCAACCATAGATCCCACTTTTTATAAGGGATTTCAAACACATGAGAACACTTATGATTACAAATATGAGATGCCTTATTCGGAAAGAAGTTATAAATTACATCTCACCTGTGATTTCAGACTAATTTCGATAATGCACATGTATAAAAAGAATAATGAAACCTTTCAAAACATGTTGTATCTACAAACACCCGCCACAAATAACTTTGTTTTTCGGTGGCAGCTCTCAGTACTGCATTCAGAAACGTGTCTTTGTCCAAAAATGTATGCATGTTGCGGGACTAATCTGTGTAAAATATCAAACCATGTCTTCCATCTTTTGTTACCTCAGTCACACTTCAACCCACAAATTTCAAGCACAATATCATTTTTTGCCAAAAATGGGTTGATCCTCACCCAAAGCAGTGTTAAGATCGAAGCCAGAAGAATGGCCCAGACCAAGATGATGGTAGGAACACCTTCCTGTTTTCCCATGACACCCTTGAGGAAAGGATAAAGATGGACAATGACCCAAAGGGCAAAAAATAGCCTGCCAAACAAAGGACCCCATGAATCATAGCCATTGTTTATAGCATCTGACACGCCAACAATGACTCCAATTATGTTTATAATTAGTAGGGTCAAGGGAGGGATCAACAAGGATGTCCATTTGAAGATGTAGAGTTCAGCAAAGTCTCCATCATCTGCAGCTTTGGATGTGACAGTGAAGTTTGTGTTAACTCCAGCAAGAACTTTGAGCAAACCCTGAACGAGAGCAAACAGATGTGAGGAGGCTCCACCAATAACCCAGAACTGCTCATTCCTCCACCAGTCATGTATACCAACACCTCCCCACTGCATTTCCAGGATGCCAGTTGCAGCTATAGAGATGAATAGAGCCATGAAAATGATACTGGCATAGTTACTTATCTGAGAACAATAAAATAAAGCATTAGTCCAAAACACCATAAACTTCATCACATTCTATTTCGTTGTTTAAAACAATTCTTGAATTTGGTGTGAGCACTATAAATACCTATAGACTATAGATACAACTAATCAAAAGTTTGAGATAATATTAAAATAACTTTGTAGCACACACTTTACTACAGACCATATTAATTATGATTTTAATACATCTTCAGCATATGTTTGGTTGTGCCTATATGTAAACTATGCAAAAGTTACTCCTATGTTTATGCATCCCTACCTAAGACGTAAATTGTAAAAGTTGAAAAAATTAATCCTACCTCAGGGACAATGAATTTCCCAGTGAGCAGACAGACAGCTGGCAATGCACAGTAGGCAATTAAGGGAATTGAAGTCAGAGGATAAACAACCGAGTTTATGTAAGAGAACCGTTCCAGCGACTTCAAGCCACCACCATAACCATACCATATAGGACAATGCCTACTGAAAAAGATCTCAACAGATCCAAGAGCCCATCGAAGAACTTGATGCAGACGATCTGAGAGATTTATAGGAGCTGAACCCTTGAAAGCAGGCCTTTTGGGCATGCAGTAAACAGATCTCCAACCATGGCAATGCATCTTGAAACCTGTTAAAATATCTTCTGTAACTGAGCCATATATCCACCCAACCTGAAATATAAATGTTGCAGAGGTCTAAATACAGTACACCATGGCTTAAAAGAGCTTCAAGGCCTTAAATCTCAAACAGATCGCATACCTCTTTCCCCCATTCTGTCTTATCCTCATAACCACAACTAATTACATGGATGGCTTCTTTCAATAGTGTGGCAGAACTTGCTGCTTTGGGAAGACCCCCATCTTCCATGAGTGTTGAAGCTATGAAAACAGATGATTGCCCATATTTCTTCTCAAACTTTTGTTGAGACATTAATAAGGACTTCTCGTTGTCAATTCCTGTGAAAAGGGTTTCAAGAGGAACACCAAATGCCATTACAAAACTAGTTAGTTGCTTCATAAGAATGCAGATATAATAAAAGTATATATTGTAATAGTAGAGCAAAGTTCAACTAAGTACATCTCAGAAAACTATTTAGAGTCTAAGAATGCATCTGAATATTTCCTAATGAAAAACAAGGCCAATTTGAGGCATTTCATACCTTCAATTCCCTCTTCAATATTTTCTAGTGCATGCATTTGCTTAATGTCATCCTTATTCTTTGTCATCTTTTTCATACTTGACTTTGATTTAATCTTTTTCTTCCTGGATCCACAACATAGACTACAGCACCATTTAGGCCAACAGTTACATGTCTTCCTTGGTGGTTTCCTCGTAGCAGGGGCATCATATCCATAAAATGCCTGCCTCCGGAAGACACACCCAGTTCCCACATATATAGGTCCTTGGATGCCATCCAAACCTTTCATATTGATCTAATACATATTTAACAACGGTTAGCTTTTCCTTCAGAGCAAACTGAAAGCTATATGTATATATGTATGTATAGTAGTACATATGTTCAAACAACATCAGCAAATTCTTACTTACATCAAAGAATACAACATTGCGATTTGAGTATCTATCATTTCGATCAATCCCATCAAATCTTTGGGGAAACTGTACATAGCATATCTTTTTCCCTGATGTAGGATCCATCATGAAGCACATGGCTTCACGAAGGGCCTTACTGTTATTTATGTAGTGATCGCAATCAACATTCAGTAGGTAAGGAGCATTTGTGATTATTGCTGAGACTCTCACCTACACAATCAACCAACAAAGCAACAGAGAAAATGTTAGAAGGAAAATGGAGACAGAAGAAAACTTCCAAAGGTTTCAGTTTTATAGTGAGAAAAGGGACTCTACCAAGGCATTCATAGCTCCAGCTTTTTTGTGGTGCTCATATCCAGGTCTTTTCTCACGGGACACGTACACAAGTCGAGGTAATTCATTGCCTTCAATGTCACGAACACCATTTTGTCCCAGGAAAACCTGAAGCAGAATACCAACATAGTTCAGGTTATACAAACTTTCCGTGTGGACACAACATTTTCAATCTACACAAAAAACCAAAATAGCATCTTAACATTGTACTCACTTGTATCATTCCAGGATGATCTCTGACATTATTCCCAGGCCATGGAGTACCATCCTGCATTGTCCAACCATCCTCAGGAACCTTCTGCGCCATTGCCACTAATGCATTAATCCTCACTTTGAACTCTTCATACTCCCTCTAAGTCAACACAAATGAGAAAAAAAAAAGAACCAGTTATTGGTTGAAGCCTAATAGAAGAGATGAAAGATGATAAACAACAATAACGCACAAAACTTAGGTACAATTCTTCAGGTGTTTTCAACATTTATTGAATGAATTGGAATTCATCTCAGTAACTTTATTAATCTTTAATGCTAACCTTTACTATGTATATTTTTTTCTAGTAGAACTTTAATTTTGATTGGAAAACACCAAAAGTAAATAAACAACTACATCTAAATTTTGTCCAAAAGTAAAACTCAATCATGATTAAAGAGAAGCCGAAGGAAAATAACTAAACTTTCCCCTGGCATAAACTATGTTTCTCAGTTAGTCATATTTCATGCAAAATTGAAGCCTTAAGTTTATGGCTTTTCCTTTGGGTCAGAAAATGACATGATAGGAACAATTTCAAACCTTAATGGCACGACGTTCTCTTATAAATGCTGCATCCACTTTATCCTTCAAGTAGTCAACCTTCTGTGCAAAATACCATTCTGGAGCCCGTGGTTCAATGCTGAACTTCTTGCAGAACGGAACCCATTTCCTTGCAAACTCAGAAGTCTCAGAGAGTGCTTCAAATGTAAGCATTGCAGCACCATCATCAGAGACATAACATGCAACCTTCTCCACTGGATAATCCACAGCAAGGATGGACAGAACTGTGTTTGCAGTTATAAGTGGAGGCTCTTTCATAGGATCCACTGTACTGACAAACACATCTATATCAGCTAACTGAGATGGTTTTCCTTCTTTCTCGTACCTGTGAAGTTGTAATTTGTAAAGAATTAACAAATAATGTCTTATGTCACACACACATATAAGGAGAGGCAGAGAAAGACCAAATACCTCAGAGATAAACGATCAAGGTACGTTTCCCTCATAATTGGGCTCCATTTTGGGAACTGATCAAAAATCCAAGACACAGCAAACCAGATTTCACAGATTACTGATGTGAGCCACAATGCATATGCATCATTGACAGGATGGAGAATTCTATAATGGAAAAAGAGGCCAAGAATGGCAATCCGGAGTACTATTATGATTCTGTATGGATTTATCCTGCTTGAACTAATTGGCAGCTTTCTCCAAAGTGGTTGTCTGCCTTCATCCATTCTGTCAACAGGAATTCAGATTAAATAATCATAATTGAGCAGAAAGGAAAGTAAATAAATATAGCAAGAAAATATGAATCCAACAGGTGTATTTTCAGATTCTATGCAAGCTCTAGACATGAAAAAAAATGGATGCTATTGCTCATAGTTGTTGGAATTAGTTGTTAGAAAGAAAAGAGACTTTTGTAAATTGTATATTTCTGTATTTATCAAAGAACAAGCAAGGTATACATATACTGAAAGGCACCCAAACTGCTATAAGATAAAGCAGATTACTTAGTTTGTCTGACATTGGTGGATGGAGGAATGAAGAAAATTGTGTTCTTATCCTTAAAATAGATAAACAGAATTAGTTACTTGGTGTATTAAATCATTATAACATCTTCAAACACAGTGGAATAGAAGTACAAGTTGTGCTCAACTTTTTCTACTATTTCAAGAAGTTTGGTAAAGCAATTCATTTGTAACGTAAAATTTTCTCTTGAAATACTTGTTTTCAGACACTTAGTAAAACCAACTTATCTTCTTCATTATTTTAATATGAAGATGTTAAGCTCGTAAAATATTAGTTGTTAATAATGAAGATTGATGACTGTTTAGTTGATTATTAGATGAGAATTAATGCATTACTTTACGAGTGCAAGAAATAGAGTATTTTGGAAATATAGCTCTAAAGCATTTGTATAGGTTACCATTAGACCCTAGTCATATGTTAGAGTAAACCTACATAATAATCCAACAAACAAATAGTCCTATTTGACTACTGTTTTTACTTAAATATCTATTTGGAGGATAAGAACAAATTTCTAGTCACTCCCCATTTACATATTACCATGACTATATGGCCGAATGTGGGTTTAACTTCTTACCAAGTATTAATGTGGTAAAAATTATATCTATATCCTGTTATTGTTAATTAAGTTCCATGAATATGTGCAGGAGATAAGATTAAAAAAATCAACTTTAACCCATCCTCACATAATTCAGCTGTTCTAAAAGGGATGCACCAAACATTTTTTCACTCTATCTTTTTACATGTTATATAGTACGAACCACGAAGAAAGCCATAAAATATTAATTTTACAAAAATAAAAATTAAATTTTCATCTCATCTAAATTTACATAAAATATTAAATTTTACAAAAAATTAAATTTGTTGGAAGAATGTGAGTGAAGAGTATTGATTCAGTAAGTAATTATAAAATCCCATTTTCTTAATCATATTTATTTAAATTGTCATAAATACAGAAAAAATATTCAAAAGAAAATAATAAAAATAATTCTATTTTTCTTATTACTAGCTGACATTTTCAGTTCAACATCTAGCTGTTTGAAAGAGCCAAAATAAGTTGGACATGCTCCAATATTGAAGCAGCCAATTTTGGCTTTAAATAAGTTGAAATACCTTAAGAGTTAAAGTTGACAAATGAGAACCACAAATAAAACCAGCAAGTTTTATGAATAACTTTCAATGAATGAATTATAAGAATAGGAATTAGACAGTAACACCTACTTTGGCAAGTCAGGATCATCCAGCTCATCACTATCCTTGCCCCCTTCATGCCTAACCACCTGAAGCTTTTCACTTTGCTTTTTCTTCCAATCCTCCATCCTTTCCTTCCATGCAACACTTCCATATCCATAAACTGCTATGTCCTTTTTAGGATCCATAGGTCTAGGTTGAACTGCATCAACAACATTAATTGTCACATTAAATAAGGACAGGGCCACCTAGAAGCAGCAATCTCAATGTGCACATGCAACCCTACACAAAAAATGTTTTCATAGCTTGGTGTAGTTAACTACTTTAAGTACACCCTCATATTTCATCTGGGTAATTTATATAACAGGTACTGTTGGGGGTGATGGTGGTGTTCTCTGATCCGAATAGAAGTTTTCCTAAAGTTAGTATACTAAATTATTAAAGGTCAATGCAAAATTACCTTAGTAAAACTCCAATTCTCATTGGAGAACAACACCAACAGCACCTATGGAGTTATATGCAAGTTTTGTAACTTAAGTAATTGCTACTATGTTTTGTCTGATAAAATTACTTACCAGGTACAGATGAATCAGGAAAAGGCATAGGATAAATCCGTTTTCCTCGAGCCATGAATGGAGGAAGAATAAGTGCATGTTTATCAGCAGAAATTCCCACATCCTTAATTGAAAAACAATTATTATGACAAATAGGATCAAAAAATAGTATAGTAAAATTCAGAAAAAAAGAAAAGAGACACAAGTGATGAAAATGAACTGACCTCTTGACCATATGTCAGTAGAGGGATCTCAGAAGCCACAGAAGCTGCATCAAACTCTGATGGTGTGTGGACTGAACCATTGACTGAACCATAGTTAAGGCGTGTAGAGAACATGGCCTCAGACATGTGAGGATGATCTCGCCTAAGATTGCCTCCAATATCAAACTCGCTTTCCAAATCATCAGTGTCATCCTCTTCTTCATCACCCAAAACTCTAGCACTACCTGATATCAGTCAGTGTTAGCCAAATCTAGCATCAGATTATGGTAACAACCCACTGTATGTTGTCGATTAAAATTCATTGAAAACTACAAAACACTTTAAATAAGTGAAACCGACAAATTATATAATTCTAATAAATTTCAGTCAACAATAAAAAAAAAACATTAAAGTCACGCCATAATCATTCTTCAACATAACAAAGGCAAAAATAAGGTGAGAAAGAAACATAAACACCGACACAAAAAAGATCAGAGTTAAATCTGGTTGAAGCTTCTTCACCTTTGATGCGCTTGTATCTTGTTTTACACTGAGGACAAACTTGGTTACCCTCTCTTCTTTCATACTCGTAGCACGGTCTGCACACAGGGAATGCACATTCATTGCACGCAACAAATGGCTCCCCGTTCACCGTAACCTCTAACTCATCCCCACAGATCTGACAAATTTGACCACTTAATTCTGTGACAGCAGTCACCTGCAAACAACAGTGATGATGCTAACATTGATCAGATCAGGAAAATTGGATGGTAATGTACTTTATAGGAAGATGAAAGTCAGTTTTTTTATTTCTAAAATGGTGAACATGACCTTTATTACTTAAAATAAGCAGCATCAAAGTTTATGACTTCCATGCAAAAAATCTAAAAGCTCTGAAATTGATAAAACATGGCAAGAAAAAATAGTAAGAAGCAGGGAGAGAACAGAAAAATGACCAAGTTGAATGAACTCAAATTATTCAAACTTAGATTGGTGAGAAAAGTGTTTTTCTTTTCTTTTCCAGTTTCTTTCACCTGAAGCTGGGGAGAGACAAACTGAAAAGAGTTTGGATGGGAAAATTTTCCACAATTAACACACAAACAAAATTGAAGTCCCCATCCCCAAGAAAAAGAAATAGCTTATTTATTTCAGCTTGAAACTCTCATTGTGCTTAAAAGAAGACATTTTGGAAAACCATTTCTAAAAGAAAAAATTCAAAAGTAACCAAATACCCTTAGGAATGAAATGAAGGACTCAAAATGGAAAGACAACCCAATTGGGTCAAAAAATCAGCATGGAAATCCAAAAAAGAAAAGACCCCAATGGGGAATTTGCTTCTTCAAACTCTTGACGTGGCTTTGTGAGATGAGTCGAAGAATAAGGACAAAACTCAGAAAAGAGACTCTGTTTTGAAGACCATGTGAATTCAAAATCTTCAGAGGAACTGAGAAATCAGAGAAATAGAGACCACTCACTCTTGCAGACTCATCAGCATTGATAAGAACAAACTCATTCCTGTTATGAGACCCTGCAATCAGTCTCCCTTTGGTGTCCATAGAACTGTTAACTCACTCAACACCAAAATCCTCAGATACCAAATACTCCACTCACAAACCTCCCTTCTTAGCTTCTTCCAAGTTCATAGTGAAAGAAAGAAGCAAATATAGAAAGGCTATCAAACTAAGAGTGAAACCGAAGAAAGCTGCTTCCTTTGGAGGGCATGGTACATGAAATGATTCTTTTCTTGAGCAACCCGGTTTTGTAACAGATGGGGTGCCAGGGTGCTACTAGTACTACAAACTACTCTCTCTCATTTGTGAAAGGCGGAAGCTTGCAGCATTATAAGCAAACACATCACAAAAGGGTTACATAAAGTGACAAGAAATGTGAGTGTAGAAGAAAGAAAGAGAAAGGAGGAAAAGGGGAAAGAGAATATATCAAAGCAAGCACGGGTTGGAAATTCAACAGAGATGAGATGAGACAGGGTCAGAGACAAAGAGAGACAATGTGGGAGTGTGTTGCTTTGTACGTGTATGTATATGTGTTTATGCTTGTGCAATGCGAAGTAATAGTAGTAGTTGGATCCATAATTATTTTCCCTAATAATACACTACATTGCTATGTAGATTATAAGTTATGCTTTTGTTTTGCCTATGAATTATTAAGCAATCTTAGCTGTAACTCTGTGTATTGTGTAAGTCTGCATTAATTGGTCTATAATTTTGTGGGAGTAACTTTGAGAAAAAAATAATTTTTAATTGTTGTGATTTGATGTATAGCTGAGTTGCTTTAAATTATATATTCATATTGAAATGTGTTCTTTTTCAAATGAAAAGAAAAAATAGGGGCTTTTTAACACTTGAGTAGGAGTTTATTATCATAAAAGAACAGATAAAATTAATTTTAATTTGGTCAAAATTAATCTTGATTGCAATACTTCAAAATAACTATTTTAATTCTAATTTTTATGATTAATAAATTTAACATCTTGAATTTCATAAAGAAATAAAATATTCTCTAATTATAAAAATATTAGAATCGAAATCATCGCTTTTAAAATACAAGGACTAGAGCTAATTATTGAATAGAAAATGAGAGATTAAATTATGTTTTTAAAGTATGTTAATAATTAATTAAAAGTGTGTTAAGTATAATGTTTAAAAAATTTATGTAAAAAACAAATAATAGACGTAAAATTATTTAAGACTGAATTTCATTGTCTTATAAAAATTCTATGGAAAAATTATATCGTAAATATATTCTAATTATTTTCTTAAAACAAAAGAAAATTTCGTGAAATTCAAATAGGAAATTATACGCTAATAAAAGGAAGTAAAAAAAGCACTAACTTTTCTTGCCAAGAAGCGGAGAGTAAAGTCACGTGAGGCTAATACGTAAAAAAGAAGAGTCACGTGAGGTTCGTGCGAGCGCGAGTACGAGATAATGCACAAAATATCGCCATACAAAGAATTAAACTATGATTCGAATTTTGAAACATCATCATATAATAATAAGAGTTAATTCTCGTGACTGAGAAATAGTCAAAATACCTTCCCTCGAGTTTATTTTTGAAGTTTCAAAATTCACTTTGTACTTTGTTTTCTTCTTTTGAAGTTGCATTGAAGATGGTAAGAAAAAAACTCAAACAAATAATTACTCACGAGAGTAAATGAATGTGATTATAATTTTGAGTTACCAAATATTTCAAAACAGCCTAAAAGTTCATTAATATTAGAAAAGTGAGTTATTTTAGAAACTTCACGTAATACTTAATTGTAGTAATGATAACGAGTTTTTAAAATCTATACATTTTGGATTAAAAAATATATAAACATGTCAAAAATAGAAAAAAAAAACTCAACAAATTTCTTAATATGTTAGAAACTCTACGTTATCTTCATGGATCATTGTACATATTGAAGTAGAAAGTTCCATTAGAAAATGAAGTTGTTATTTCCTGAAATGTCATTAGCTGGTATTTTTCTGCTAACAGTGGCAAGTCCATCACATCATAGCTAATGGCATTAGAGTAGTAGGAAAATTACATGTTTTCAATTATTTTCTATGATCCTTATTCCTTAGTTATATAAGCCAAAAGAAATCTATTTTACCTCATTGATGTATGTGGATTTTCGATATTTAATTATTTCAATAATAAATCAAGAAGGGTAATTTTAAGATTTAGTAAATAATTTTTTGCCTGATTATGTGTCTCTTGGTATTAAATTATCTTTTTTTATGGTTTTTGGAAATGAAGAATTTATTCTGTAATTTTTATTTAAGAAAATTAAGTTTTTTAAGCAAAGTAAAATGTAAATGAGAATATAAAGACAAAAAATATTTTTTAAAGATATTTTACAAGTTTACGGAAATTCTCATATTTTTATCAAAAAAAATATTTCGCTAAATTTATACAAAAGCTTGTAGGAAAATTCGTAAACAAACTTTACAAGAAAAAATTGCAAGCAAAACTATAAAATCCCATAAAATGGTATTTTTAAAAGTGATGGTAGTCTAAAAATAGTGAGACTCGATTATTTTAATATTAAACGGTTTTATTATAAATAGTTTTGTTATAAATGAGTTTCATTATTTTAAAACGTATCATCTCTCTAGAAACCACTTTTCTAGACTTTTCTACCTTTTCTCTAAGAGTTCTAACTCCTCAGTCATCTCTTTGACGATCAGGAGATACCTAATAACGAGGTCTACGTTTCTAGCTGATCAATTTCTTCAATAGAGCAAGCAAGTTTCGACTCATTTTTCCCCTTTCCTTCCTAAATCTGTTTTAGAGGAATATTGTACCGTTGCATGTTTAATCATGCATCTCCTACATGTTCTTGATTCATCTAGAGTTCTAAGAACTCTATTCGTTTCCAATTTAGTGTTTTGTAGGTTCGTCTAGGTATTCTTTGCAGTTCAAGTAATCAATGGAGCATTTTGAGAAGTTTGGTAGTTGGTTTAGAGGTAAGGGAAACTAGATAACTGCTTTTAATAGAAATATATGTGGTGTGAGTTTGATGGTTTATGATGATTCAATTGGTTGAGCTGAAAAATATGGTTTTGTGTTAATAGTAAATGAGTGAAATGCATGCTTTGTATGTTGATGGGTGTTATTCATGTGTGAAATATGTTGTATGTATGTGGGTGATGTTGGAATTATTGTTGATGAAGTGAATTGTACTAACTGGATTGTCGAGGGAAACGAGTAATATTAGTTGATAGTGGTTTGGTCAAAAAGGGGGTTTATTGTGGAAAATTTGTTAGTGAGCTGTTTTGATGAATTAGAGATTAGTTATGAATTGGTTTGAGGCAGGTTTGGTACCTTAGAAGCGGTAGAAATCTGAGTTGTATGTAGGCGATGGGGATGAGGTATATAGTTCCCCTTGTGTTAGAACTTAATTTGGAGGAAGTGAGGTAGTGAAAACTTGAGTTTGGAGTTCTGTGTGCAAATGGTCAGTTTAGGCAGTCTTGGTAAGTCATTTGGGACTTGCTAGAGTCCGTAAGTTTCTTGGAATTGTGCCACAAATAGTAGAATTCAATTTGGGTCTCTAAGTTGAGTTTTTGTGAGTTTTTGGGTAAGATTTTGAGTCTACTTGTTTAGATTGAGGTTAGAAGTGTTTAGACAACATTGGTTAAGTATATTTAGGTATATAACACAATCTACGAGGACTAAAAGTTGGGAAAAATAGTTGGAATTGGTAAACTTGGTGTAGGTTGCATAATTCTACATATTTGGTGTTGTAGATTATGCAGACTCGCTGAGCGAGTGGAGTCGCTCAACGAGTAGTGTTAAAGGCTGGGTCACTGTGTGGTGATTCGCACAATGAGAAGGTGCGCTGAGCGACTGGTTGAGGTTTGGGAGCACTGTGAGTTTTATTCAAATAGCGAATGGATGCGCTCAGCGAATGTCTAGGGAATCTGGACCACTGTTTGGACTTTTGCACAACGAGTTGGGTCATTGGGCGAGAGATTTGGGTTTGTTACCACTGGGAGTTTTATTCGCTCAGCGAGCTGGGTCGCTGAGCGAGTGGGTTGAAGTCTAGAGGCATTGTCTGTAGATTCGCATAGCAAGCTGGGTCGCTATGCGAGAACACTCTATAGTCGCTTAGTGAGGGTATGCGTTGAGCGACTGGTTCATGTTTTTTAGTACTCTTTCTTTTCTTATTCTTGATTGGTTTGAAATATAAATTAAATTTGTTGTGAACGAAGTATGATTATGTATGAGTTGTATGAGCAATAAAGTCATTAGTTAAGATTCAAAGTATGGTTTCAAAGTGGTGAAAGTAAGTTCCAAAGTGAATCCTCTTGGTGAGGTTCAAGTATGTTTAGAATGAATGCAGGAACTCAATTTTGGGGGTTATCCTGAAACTCTAATGGTCTTTCATTATCACGTAGAGATGATTGATCAACGTCGTGAGGAGTAGCATGATGTCTTAGTCTTGGAGGATTTCAGTATGCTCTAAGGTCCAGAACAGACTAACCTCGTGGGTGTAGTAGGGTGAAACTCATTGGCAATGACTTTGCAAAGCAGTAGAAGCCACCATGAGTGCACAATCCGCCATAGCTCGACAATCATTCTAAGTTCGGACGGTCAAAGTCAGTGTAGTGTCATGCATAAAGTGTTTTTGTGATGAAATGTCTATGTATGATTGTATGGTATGTAGTTGATAAATAATATGTTTGTTCTTTTATTTAAACTAGCTTACCCTGTTGTTTGTGTTTGTGTTTTGTATGGATTGGTGTTCTTTTCTTTGCAATGATCATCCTATGGGTGTGAGCAAAGGGAGATGAGGTGTCTTGAGAGCAGACTTTGGATCACTACAGAAAAACTATCAATTACTGAAGGATTAATACCGATGGCCTACAGGCCTTCGGTAGAGCTAAATTACCGAAGGATTTTCCGACGGTCATGTTAGGTGTAGATTATCGAGGCTTTTTGGCCGTCTGTATTGGCACAATGACTTTAGCGAAGGAATATGACTGCTGGTATATTGCTCAGACTTAATGAAATAACAATTTGGGATTTCTCCCTCCCATTCTGCCAAATTCTACTTTTGTGAAAGCTTCCCCCAAGTGAGAAGTTCTTCCCTTACTCTTCCTCTGTCATTCAGAACCCCCAAACCTAACCACTATTGTCCGTTCCGCCCTTCCCCATTTTTGTCAAATTGGTCTTCAATCGTTGTGTGCTAGGTTTCTATCGTGGTAGGAGAGTGCCGGTGAGGAAGGTGGTGGTTGAGGTGAGGGATTAGGTTGTTGCGAGGGGCTATTCGAAGGGGTTTCTTGACGAGGTTTCTCTCGCGGTGTGACGAGGGTGGTGTGGCGGCGTGACCAGTGCTTCCGGTATCACGACGAGGCCAATCTACGGGCTTTGTGACGAAGGGCCTTTCGCTGCGTGAGGAGGGCTTTGACTATCGCGAGGAAGGCTATTGGACGACCGATACACCTAGGAGGTGTCGTTGCCGTAGAGGTGAGTTCTCTATTTTGTGAATGAAGAAGACTTTGTTGATGAAGGGCCGATGAAGAA